ATGACGAAAAAGGATTAAGCAGAAGTATTCAAGCAGATTCCCAATTTTATATTCAAATCATCGAGATATTATGTCATCAATCTCTTATTTTCCGGTTCATTTTAAAATTATTTCTTTAACGTTTCGTCAACTTTTTCTTTAGAAAGTAAAAAATACACAGAAAGATTTTGCTAAAATATCTAAAATTTTAGGAAGAATCTGGAAATTATTTTATTGGATTATCAAAATAATTATGTCAAAATTAAAACTCAAGCATGGAACAATGTTGCAAAAAGTTTTAACATTCTACGCGGAAAGAACGATTTTACTGAAATATCTAAAATTAGCTAGATACAGATCTGAATATAATTTTTTGTTGGACTATCAAATAATTATGCACGAAACTCAAGCATGATGAGCAATGTACTGCGAAAAGTTTTGGCATTCTAGCAACCAGTTCGAGCGACTTATATATTTAAAAGTTCAAAATTAATTTTAGATCTGTATCTACCTAAATTTTCAACAAAATCGTTCTTTCCGTGTAGCAACCAATTTAAACGTCCTACATAGTTACTTTGACAATTCGAATTATTTTCAGATCCGTATCTATATTTTTAGATACTTCAGCAAACTCGTTCTTTCAATATAGACGTAAGATAAATTTATTTCGTTCTTGCTTCTATAATTCAATCGTGTCCACCAGTTAAAAAAAAATAGCAGGATGACGTTTTATATCCCCATTCAGTGAAAATATATTATCAGATAAGCGCATAAAGCAGCAGTAAGTCAGAGCGAACAAATAGCGACGAAAATCGGAAATGGGTGTGAAGCCGCGGCGTGTGGCTTTCAATGCGCGTCGCCGGCAAATGGCAGCGACACACGAGCACAATATACATACCGGCGCGAACCGCGTTCTCGAATCCGTAAAAAGCCTCGTCGTGCCTCGCCTGCTTATTCTGACTTATTATTCCGCGGCTGTCGCGAGCAGATACCTTAAATCCGACATATCAAACACCAATGTGCCTCGACGGAGGCGGCGGATGTCTCGCGAGTCTCTAACTGTCGGATTTTTATTGTTATTCGAGGAGCCACCATCGCTTGAATCGCATTTGCCGTATTTGTACGATTCGTCTCGGTCGGCATTTGCACTTCGCTTTATTCGTGTCGAACGTCGATTCGAGCTTTCACTTCTCGGTTGCGATCGTTCCGGAGTTGTTTCACGGTGATGAATTAAGCCCGCGATATTTGACCAGAATTTACACAACGCGCGATTAGTTTGCGTATTTTCGTATCATTTGATGTTGCCAGATTCAATAATCCCTTTATTTTGGTCAATTACGTCAATTTTAAATCATGATAAACATTTTAGGCAGGAATTTCTATCCTCTCCTATTAAAAGTCTGGTAATAGTTACCAAATGTATTTTATTCAGCATATTGAGATGCAATATTTAATAAATATTATATTATTAAATATATATATTTTTTATGTATTTATATAAATGATATAGTTCGTTGTATGCAAAGCAATAAAAGTCAAATATTAAAATTCAAATAATTCGAATTTGACGAAAAGCAAATCGTAAAAAAAGAATCATCAATCTTTCAGTTCATAAATTAGAAATTATTTGTGCTTTTTTAATTTATAAACTGAAGAAAACTTTGAGTTCGATCTTTTACGATAAAAATTCTTCGATTTTGAATTAATTAATTTTAATATCTTTGTTTATGCTGTTTCTTTAATCATTAACCTATTTATTTATAATCAAACGTAATAATAATAATAATAATAACCAACCGTTTGATAATAATTAGAAAAATTAGATAATATTTAAAAAAGTAAAAAATTAGCGTTTAATTAATTTATGTTATTTTAATCAAATAAATATTTGATTAAAACTATTTCAAAGATTTAATAACCATTAACTAAACTTAGTTTATTATCAGACTCTTTTCAGTGTGATCTTTCTATACGTGTGTAATTATTCTATCAATCGAACACACAAGGAATAAATACAAAATTATAACATACACCATTGACGAATGAAAGCATAACGTTCATTTAAAAATTGCAAAATACGTTTCACACGCATCAGGCTTGTCGATGGAATTATTCCTTGTATTTATTGGAGTTGCTCTTGCGTTGTATGTCGATGAATGTGTTTAACGTTGATGAATACTTATGTAGAGTATAGTGAAAAAAACCAATGTTTTCCATTAAATACGATTATACAAGCGCTTTCACACAGACAAAACGCTGTACGCGACGAGTAATGTGCGTGTAATCGAGAGAAGTGAACAGATTCACGTTGGTATTTATGACGCTCGCGACGTAAATCTGTATTTAAATCTATACAGGTGCGAATCAATCCGATGAAAAAACGACGTGCACTCGTTTGTAATGTTTAACCGTTCGATGGTGTCCGCTAAAACGACAATCATTGTTACCACGTCCCGCGAGTATCGGCAATCGTAATATCAATCGAAACCGATAATGTCAAATCGACCATTTATGAGACGTCATTGTTCTCTGATTGCGACGATTTGTACACGACGTTTGAAAATAATTGAATTGATACCAATAAATATCGTGTTACGATGTTTACGGCACGCGGCAGCGTAACATACGATATATCTCGTTTCACGTGCAGTAATAAAGACGACGGAAGAAGAAAATATGTCAATTACCATATTTAATAATATTAACTAATGTATCTTAGTATTTAATGATATTAACTTGAATATTAACTAACGCGTATGTTAATTTGATAACGGGAGAAAATAATAGACGCTGTTCAGGCACGTATCATGGAATCATTTGGAATAGATTCCGATCGGAATTATTTTGGTTTCCCTAGAAAATATAATAGAAATCTAGGAAATAATTGAACAATTTCGATCGGAATCTCTCCATTCCGAATAATTTCATAATATCTGTCCAGTATCTCGATTATTCTGTGACTTTTAACGACAGTTTGATATCGTTAATCGTTACATTTCACTGCGCATTTTTTTTTATCATGTATAATAACTGCGCAACAGTTTAACGATACCGATACTGTCGTTAGAAATTACAGAAAGAAATGTAAGTAAAATCAAATGAATATCCCATACAGTTAGATCTTCGGATTCTCGTTCATTTATATGGCAGAGATGGCCAACTCACGGAACTCTTCAAATTCTTTGGAGTGGAATCTCACTTTAAAGAGTAAAAATTGGGTCTTGACAGAGAGTAGCTCAATTTTCAGTCTTTTAGAGTGAGATTTCACTTTTTAGAGATCTATTCTATAAAAGTTTTAGAGGGAAAAAAGATATTCTCAATGGCACGTCTAGAAAATGCACTGTTAGAGAAAAATAAAAAAATAAAAAATCTCACATCAGTAAAATAGCAAACGTACTTCACTAAAATCTATTTCTTACACTTTCTGAGTTCGCTTTGTTCATTTTACCAAACTATTTACTTTAAAACGAATATAAAACATAACATGATAAAAGAAATAAACTTTGTTAAACATATTTAAAGAAGTCTTTTTACTTTCAAGAGAAGAAATGCAAGAGAAGAAAATATAAGCATGATTTTGTTCTGCTTAATTCTTTAGCAGAGCAGCACACCAAAGATTTTAAATTTTCATAATAACACGCCAGACAAAAAGATTGGCCACCCCTGGTTTAGATCCGGAATCTTAAGCTTTCTGATAAAGACGCATCACGTGAATTTATAATATAAAAAAAAAAAAAACTTGCGCCGCAAAGTATACGTTCCGTTGAAACTTGGACGGCGTCAAAGGTTCGATCAGAAATAGAGAGATCACCTTGCTTCCGGCATCGAAAGCGGTGCGATTCCGCAACGCATATCGACGCGGACAGAGAACAGACGAGGTAATCGGGGCAAGGCGATAAATCACGGTCGCTGATTACACATTTCAAAACGCGGCCGAAAGCGGTTGATCTACGGCTCCATAACTCTGGAAGTCGTCCCCCGGCATCCGCCCACGTCCCCGTCCCCGTCGCCATTCGTACGCTGCGCTGCGCTGCGTTGCGCTGCGCCGCGCCAATACAACGTACGTATGTGTATACGGCCGTCCCAAATCAGTTTTCGAAGTTTCCGTCGATTTTTATCCCGGTGACCCGATAATCTCCCGCCGATATCGGACGGACGTGAGTTTGCGTTTGCGCGTCATCCCCGTCCGTTTTCGCTCGGGGCGGCATGGCATATCGTCACTCCTACGCCCCCGACGAAATTCACTCACAGTCGACCCCTCCCCCTCCCCCTTGTCAACCAAACGAGAACTGTCGTTAATTTTCCATACACTTGGGAGATGCATCTGAAAGCCGATAACGACCGGATTAAATGCATTAAACGATGTATAACGTGCGTTTTGCGAGCATGCGGATGCATACGGATGAGTGCACATCGCTGTCTATAGTTTATACGTTTGCGCTATTGTTCCATTGGCAACATGTAAAAGAAACAAATCGTGTTTTGATTTGCAATTCTGTTCAAGTACGGCCTTGGCTATCGTTCAACAGCAAGGAAAACGTATCCCCGTTCTCCCGCTCTTTTCAAAAACAGTTGAATCAAGCGAAAAAAAAAATAGATAAATAGAAAACACACTGTTGGCTTTCGATTAAAATTGTTTCCGGGAGCGAGTTACCGGTTAACAGCGCGTTTTCTCGAACGAAATTGTCGCAGTAAATCCCGATAGCCCTTTAGATAGATTCGGAATTTCGATATTACCGCAAACATTACAATAACGTGCAACAGCCAACAGACGAAGTAATTCTAGGCGCCAGGATGCTACAAGTAATGGCTGTAATAATGCTACATATTTCACTTATAACTGGTCATAAAGGTTGTTTTATTAACAGCTCTTGGGAGTTGTAAGATATTGTAACGGTCTTTTATGAGTGGAGTATTTCGCAAGTAAAATATATTCGGTACATCGGTTTCGCAAGAATCAACAAAATTATAAATTACGTAAATAAAAAAAAAATATTCGCCGAATCTTTGCGGGAGAGCCCATGATTTCACTCGTGACTTTACGTATCGTTCTAATTATCCCGATAAAAATCCGCCGTAAAACTTATCAACGTGCATTTATCACACGCGTCCAAGAAATATTTCGTGGACGTTATCGAGATTTAAAAAAATTTATCCGATCGATAAATGTGATATTAAATTGAATAATATAAATGAAAGAAGGAGAACGTGAAAGAAAAAAATACGCAGAGGTGAGAAAACACTAAAACTTTCCACTCTCGTACGAGACATAACGAGTACTTTGTCATCTTGACACCCGTCGATGCTGTTCTACCTGCATATTAATGCAGGTCTTTCGCAACTCTCTCATATATTAACATAACTAACTTCTCCGTCAAAGAGATGATATTTCTTTCCACAGACATTTCGCCGAATGAAACCATATCGATTATTATCACGCTACCGACTTAATCTAGAAATAATTACCTGGGATATTTTTATACTTCAATGGCGAGAAAATGTGAATTGCTGTAAAAGGATGTAAAAATATTTTCTTTCTTTTTGGATATATTTTCTTTCTTCTTCAATAACTATTCTTCGCAAACCGTTAAATATAAAATTTCATCAAAAAACCTGCAGTGAAAAAGCTTACTTATATTAATTAAAATTTTTATGTTTTATAAGTACCGTCATAATAGGCTACTTAACGTGTTTATTTCGTTCACTTGTTTGGTTTCTATTTACTTTTTTTTAAAAAAAAGTGAGTAAATATCTATGTTCTCGAATGCCAATAAATCGGTAAACTATCATTAATATACAACATGTCGCTAATAATAGTGATTGAAATAGAATGTAAAATATCTCAAGTGATCGTTTACGTAATAAAAATAAGGTAACTACTCTCGGGTTAATAACAAGAAAAGTCAGTGATAAAGAATCAATTTAGACTGAAATGTGATAAAATGTAAAAATATAGAAGATACATAATAATCGCATAATGGAAAAGTTGAAAGTCATAAAGTTCACTTAAAAAAATTAAATTAAAAAAATGTTTTTGTCGTATATATTGCTGATAAGGAATAATCGCAAATCTTGAAGATCGTAGAACTAAAACCGGTTTGGGATAGAACATACGATTACATGTGTCTACAACGTTTAGAATTGAATACGCTGAGAAAGCACATACTTCTCGCGTTCGTACTTCCTCGTTCAACGATTCCCTTGGCCTCTTCAACTCTCACGACGTTCTAGCCCGCACACACATAGCCATCCTTATTCTTACTTTTAAACCGACGATCCTTGGAAAATATCCGATAGGAGAGCGCCACGCCCGTTCGTCGTCCACTCGAGATTGCCGAGGATGACTGGGGAAATTAATTAGATGGAATTTCACAGAGAGAAAGGACTGTCCCGTAGAAGTTAGAAGCGAGCGGAGTAGTAGGTACGAAAAGCTTAAACGGCTTCGGCTCTGTAACTTCGTTGCACGCTGGCGAGTTTGAGTGATCTTAGGGAACCACGAGCATTTACAGCACGCTAGAGCTAACGTAGATTCTCCTATAATACCATGACGCGTGCGCAGACTTGGCTAAGAGCCTCTGAGAAAGTTGCCGAACGAAGCGTCTCGTGAATCCGACAGTTAATTCCGGCAGATCTTTTTACGCCCTCGAGCGGGGAAGAATGGAAAGGGGGAAGTTTGAGGTATTTTATCGTTGTGATGCAACACCGTACACACCGATTATTTTACAGTTGAGCACCCTTCTCCGAAGTTCGCGTTTCCATCGAGGAGGTAACTACTTAATGTAATCGTGGGACAGTGTCCCCGAAATCACTATGAAATCTCCATGTTATAATTTTGCAATCAGGTATAATCAAGAAGTTAGATGAAATTATGCAGAATCATCAGATATCATAATGAAATCATATATAATCCGTAGAAATCATTTTTAATTTCCACATAATCACTGATAATCAGGTGTAATCACCGAAATTTGTGATAAAATCATGTGGAATCACCGTAAAATCTGATAAAATCAGTGTATATAAATCTGAGATTGCGAAACATAAATTACATGCTACCATGTTTTTTTTACATAAGCGCAATATATTGTATATGTTCGATCGCGCTTCATCTTATATATAAGATTCTAGAGGTTCCAAATTTGATCATCAAACGCATAAAGCATAATTTATCTTTGTCGATAATCTAATGTTAAACAAGTACAAATGACGCTCTATGTGCACAAGAAAACATGGCTGATAATGTAGTTTATGTTCTGCTACTTTAGGGCAGCGACACAGACCTGCATTTTGCAAAAAGCACAACTAATAACGCATAAGAGAACCAATCAATCTGAACCCTTCTTTTCCTTCCACTTCACAAAAAAGAAAAATTTTTATTAGTTGATTCTCTTATGCACTATGCGTTATGCTTTACGCATAAGTCTGTGTCGCGGTTCTTAAAATTATTTACTTATACTGATTTCATGAAATTTTATTATATAGTGACCATTTTCATCACAAATTTCATGGTGATTACATATGATTACCATGATTACATAGAAATTCAAAATAATTTATGCTGATCAGATTTCTGATGATTACACATAATTTCCAGGCATTCTAATGAAATCTCAAATAATGTCTGCTAATTACACATGATTTCATTATAATTTTTAATGATTCCACATGGTTTTATCTGATTATGGACACATCTGATTGCAAAATGATTACATAGCGATTTCTTAAAGATTTCATGATTTTGGAGACATATTATTGTCCCACGTTTATATTAAATAGTTATCCCCGCGTCACAGTGTTTCTAATCAAATAAAATTTTCATTTGTAATCACTAAAAATGTTATAATTACATATGCAATCATGAGAAATCATTATGTAATCAAATGATATCATTTATAATTAGATAAAATCATTGTGCAATCAAATGAAATCATTTGCACTCAGATGAAATCGTTTAAAATCAGATGAAATCATTTGCAATCAGATGAAATCAAATGAAATTATGTAATCAGTGGGACAACATTTCAGCTAGTGATTACCCCCTCGGTTTTCATGCAAAAAAACATCAGAGTTTTGTGGATTAAAGAGTCATTGGATTTCTGATGCAGCTCGCTGTCGATATAGAGCATTTAATGTTATACTTGGTAATTTAATCTCGATTTTTGAAGAAGAATCGTGTATGTGTGTGCCTTTTTTTAAACAGCTACACAAATCTACGTGTTAAATTCATATATACGCGACATGATTTCCCACATGGGCTACTAAAGCTCGTTAAATTAAGTTGTCAAAAAAAACACATGATACAATGTATTATGTTATATATATTACGCGAGAGGCGTGCAGAATTTTGCATAATTTTTTGTGGAGATAGAGGTGTGTTTGATAAATTAATCAAAGCAAAGTCTGGGATTAGGTATATCCTCCGTGTGAGCAACATAAATTCCCAAAATGTGATAATAATCCTATTCCATGAGCGCTTATGCAGACTGAATTTGGGAGAGGATCGTCGGCTTTATGAGCTGAGGCAAATATTTGCGCACCCCTTCATGTGAAAACGTATTGTTCGAATCCGTACCCCGCGAAATTTTGCAACAAAAGTTTCGCGAATGTGTGTCTTTCGAAGGAGGCCGATTTTCAGAAGTTCGAACGTATATAACGTTCATAAATCCAAATAAGAATTATTTATAGAAGTCGCCAGATACCGCGAGCGAGATGCTCTTGAGACCGAACTTTCTTCGACAGCCTGGCAAAGTTGATGCGCGGGGAAATATCTGCGAGTTTGCCCGAGGTATTATTTCTCTCGAATTGGGGAAAGGTCATTGTATACGTGACAGAAGTTAAAATTGAATTCGAAAGAGAAGGGGCGCACTTAGAATAGAAAATAGCGAGCGTTTTTACTCTTTGTGTCTCCAGTAATTTTTCCGCAAGTACGCCCGATTTAACGTTCGCAATTACGGCGCAAAATCTGCTTTTGTCCATAAGTATTATACTTCAAGAAAATAACGTACTAAACGTAAAACTTCTCTTACAAAATGATCTCGTCGTAATTACTCTAAAGCTATCGTGACATTTGATGCATATTCGTTAAGAGTTCCAACAAATTTAATTAAAAACCTCTTGTTTAGATAAAAATAATTTTGTTAAGAAGTTTGTAGAAAATATTCCATTGATTGACGAATGTGAATTCACAACGGAGGGAGATTAATAAATGATGTCTGCCGAAGGGAGAAAACTTCAAGTTGGTCGTTCCTTTTCATAAGAAGCATGATTTCTGACGGAAAGAGGTTGGGGAGGGTTAGAGTTTGAGAGGATTGAAGTTGGTTGGCATCCAATTCGTACTTCAAAAGCCTCCTTAGCATTAGCCTTTCGGCTTTCAATCTAAAAAAAAATGGCAAAAACAAATTTATATCCATGAAAATATTTTTCCGTCGACGACGCAACCTCCGCTTCCTGTCTTGTTTTTCTTTTTTTGCGTAGTGAATCGAGAAGCTCGTGACAGAAGGACGATGGAACAGGAGACGAATAAGGAAATGGGCGCGAGAGATGTCTTCACGGTAATTCGTTGCCAGCGGCATGATTGCCCTGTTTACACAACTTGCGAGTGTGCATTTCCGCAGCGCCGGCGTAATTACGCGAATGACTCAATCTTCGCCAACAAACTTGAGAATTTTCTCGAGAATCCTCGAGATGAAGGAATAATCATACAGGAAAGCTGCCTCCGGAAAGGTTCTCGTTATGCACCTGGAAGCTGTGACTTACGTGCTGGTATTTTCCATCACCACGATGCTTTATTCCTAAGGGAAGATCCCAAAAATGAGGTTGGACTTTTCTCATCTACGGCTAATAACCATTTCTACAATTTTAAGTTAATTCTCTCGAAAAGAGAGTACACATTGCTCTTTTATTTCAAAAGTAACAAAACTACGAAGTTGAAAAATTTATATTAAATTTAATAGATATATTTCACGTCTTATATATACATTATATTCCGTGTCCTATATATTAAAGGTTTTGTGTTAATTTAACACAAGATGAA